ACTGGCTAGCCGAGTTGAAGGCAGCACTGATCGCTTTCCCCAAAATATCTTTGCCTTTGATGACAAGGGTTTTTACCATATAAGCCTTGTGATGGCAAAGTGTTGCGTACCCGGATGTTGTGAATGATGGTCTGTAGATGTTTGTTTTAAAAGAACATCAATCTATTTATCGTAGGAGTACCCGTGTGTCGTGTATGTTTGTCTGTAGATGTTTGTAAGAACAACAATCTATTTATCGTAATCGTACCCGGATGTTGTGAATGATGGTCTGTAGATGTTTGTCGTCCTCAAACATGGTTCCCAGACTGGGTCCCTCACCGCACGTCTTGTCCTCAAACTTGTTGTTGATGATGGGCCTGGGAATAATCATTTAACATCATTTTTTACAGCAGTTTTGACACAATTATGACACTTAAAACCCGAGGAAACTCTTACAAACAAAACAAAAAAAAATCAAAACCTCCTCTTCCCAAAAAAAAAGAAGCTCCATAACAAAACAAACGACTCCAAGAAACGAACCAGCAAATCGACGTCAGAATCAGAAGCGGGAACAACTTTAGTTTCACTAGTGTTGACCGAGGCGTAAAACCCCTGCGCTATCTCCCTCGTACCTGGTGAAAGCGTCGAAGTAGGCGTCTGGCACCAAGTTCTGCACGGACAGAACCGCGTCCTGGAAGCGCTTAATGACCTCCGCAAGGCCGTCCTGGAAGTCGTCAAGGTCGGGGGAGAAGAGCAGCTGGTTGGGCTCAAGGACAAACTCGGTGATGAACAGAGGGGGAAGCTTGCTGTCTTCTTCTTCCTCCTGAGTGAGAGAACGGGGGAGTAGGGAATGGGGAGAGAGAGGTGAGAAAGTGGAGAAAAGAGAAGTGGGAAGAGGGGAAAGAGAAAAAGGATGTAAGGAAAGGGGAAAGGAGGAAAAGAGAAAGGGGAAGAGGGAAGAAGGAAGAAGAAAAAGAGATGAGAGAAGAGGAAGTGGAGAGAGAGAAGTGGGAAAAAAAGAAAGTGGGGAGAGGGAAGTGGAAAAAAAAGAAAGTGGGGAGAGAGAAGTGGGGAAAAAAAGGGTGAGTGGTGGTATGAGGTTGTTTGGGTTTTTTTGAGAGGGAATGGTGGGAGGGGATAGCAATTCTACACACTAAGACGAGACAAAATGGTGGGAGGGGATAGCAATTCTACACACTAAGACGAGACAAAATGGTGGGAGGGGATAGCAATTCTACACACTAAGACGAGACAAAGACCTTTTCCCCTTTCTCCTCCTCTTGCTCCTCCTTTCCTTTCTTCTTCCCTTCCTTCTCCAACTTCTCTGCCGCCTCACTTTCTCTTTATCCTCCCTCCTCCTCATCCTTTTTGTATTTTTTTCCACTCACCTTGTCTTTTTTCTTCTTCTTCTCCTTTCCTTCTTCACTTCTCCTCCTCCTCCTCCTCCCCCCATCCTCCCAACCTCATCTTACACTTACAACTCAGCCCTACCCTTTCTTTCCTTCATCCCTTTCACATTCTCCCGCTTCTTCTCCTTCTCCTCCTCCCCACCCCCCCTCCCTTCCCTTTCTCCCCTTACTTACCTTGTCCTCTTTCTTCTCCTCCTCCTTCCCCTCCTTCTCCTTCTCCTCCTCCTCCTTGTAGTCGTTGTAGCTCTGTATCTCAGCGAGGGTGGCGGTGTTCTGCAGCTGTTCGCTCAGGTAGTTGAGGAGAGTGGACACAGAGTTGACGGCCAGCACGTGCATCGTGTTCACAATCAGGTAGTCTGCCAGGCGGATGAAACTGTGGGGGTGGGGGGGAGAGTGTGTGGAGGGA